ACAGTATTTTCTGGGTTTTTCTTGAACAGAATTAAAGTGACTTTCGATTCTATGCTCATATTATTTATTTAATTTAAACCAAAGGCAGTATATTTCAAAAAAGAAATAAAATCAAGATCTTGTAATTCATTTTGCAAATAAATATTCAAAGTTACTTTGATGAAATACATTTCATGTATTGCGCCAAAAAATAGTTTGTTGTGAAACAACAAAATTGATTAAGTAACTAAAAACTCAAGAACGCAGAGCGGAGCGAAGTGAAGCTCTGCGGTCTTGTTTTTTTTCTCTATAGTTGTCTCTATTCTATAAATACCGCTGACTCAGCAGTTGATTATTCCGCCCGAAATGCTTCTCCAGCCTCTGAAAACATGCAAATAAAAACCATAAAAAATAAGGATTCTCACCAAAGTAATTTTTGTATGTGCGACGAAATAGAATTGAATTAGGTTCACGTTATTCAGTTCACAGTCACTGTAAATGTTTTCGATTTTAGTCTGTGTGTGTTTGTATATATGCGAATTCTGAAACAATGAATTTTTCTCTGGATTTTTTTTTCTCTATGTTCTGTATTTCTGGTGAGTGGATTCAGTGTGAGTGTACGAAAATTATTCGATACACTGAAGCTCATATATTGGCATGCTACAAGCAAGAAACGCACACAGATTGAGAGGAAGAGTGATGAACGTTGTTTGAGCATTAAAAGAGGGCTCTTTGTGACATTACCTTCAATTCATCCTTTTGCAAATGTGTGCATATATCACTTGCATTGAACCCATTGTTGCTGATTCAATGACAGTTTTTCTCTCCCTCTCTCACACACACACACTCTCTCTCTCTCTCTCTTTCAATTCTCTTATTCTCTTCTATCCGCTGTTATGTTCTTTATTGTCTTCTTCCTGTCTATTGATAGCATAACATAAAAAAGCAGCACCACTATTGCAATTGCCTGAAATTCTCTCTCTCTCTCTCTCTCTCTCTCTCTCTCTCTCTCTCTCTCTTTATCACCACCTAAGATATTTTTCACATTGCGAAAATGCTACATCTTGCCTAATGGAACATTTACACTTTCGATATGTTTCCATCTTCTCGATATCGGAAAAGAGATGTGTGTGCAAGTGCGCACATATAATCAGCGTTGTTCAATCATACTAGAAAAAAAAATAACCATATCGTCGTGGAAAATGTTGAACACGAAAAATTGACTACTATCAATAACATACGATGAAAATGCAGTTCAGTTCCATCCGAAGCGTTGGCATGTCCATTGTCGATTCGAGCCCAATTCAGCACATTAAAAATATCCGTATCACATAACACATTCTTATCGATTCGAAGGGATTTTTTTTTTGCTATTTTGGGTGGTGGATATCTTAAGCGAGAGATCAATTTGTGGAACACACACACATACACAAACACAAAACACAAAGAAACTATGAATAGATAACGAGGCATTTTATAACCATCCTTTTGGTCTTTCTCTCTCTCTCTCTCGGGCATGGAATATGGTCGGTATCTCTTTTTATTTTTCGTTCATTCTGAAATGTTTTTCGTTGTTAGCGCATTTTCTATTTGCTGTGTATTGTGAACAAGAAAACATTCGACACACACATACACATACACAAGAAATACAAGCTAAAAATGAAGAGAAGAACACAGAAAGAGAACAACGAAAAAAATGAAGCAAAATGAACTGAAATCGTACTGAGTAGTTGCACATTAATATTGGAGTATTTATTTTAACATGTTGTTGCCAAAAGAGAACCATGGGATCGCGTTCGCGCTGCATTGATGACGACCAGTGTAGTTATAGCATAAAAAAACTACAGCAAACACTTCCGCAAACGAGCAAGGAAAGAATGGGAGAGAAAAAATAACGAAGGAATGATGATGATGATGGGAAGTATGTCAATCTTCGAATATATATTCGACATTTTCTTATAACAGTCTGTGTGCTGTTGGATGTTAGCATCTCGCGTTACTCTATAGTCCGTTCGATTTGATTCTTCTGCTTCTCTCATCCGGTCTACTTGTTCGAATGCAGTCGAGCCTGTGCTAAGCTGTAATAATAATTTTTTTTTCGGATGCCATTTTGCATTTTTCTTCTCGCCTTAATTTTACGCTTTTCATTTTCGTTCTTCTTTTTTCTCTGCTACTACTTCTCCTTCGTTCATTCCATCGTTTTGCTCTAGTATGCACCATGGTGCTGCTATTTTGTGCTATGCCTTCGGGTCGAAAGATAGAGAGAAAAAGCACGAGCACAGGAGGTTGAAAAAAAAAAACAAGATGAATTGTTCCATAAGGTTAAGAGAAAAAGAATAATCTACTGGCATTTTTTGCTATGTATTTGTGGATTTTGAATTGAATGTAAATACACACACAACGAGGAAAAAAAAGTGCCGTGTGTCAATTATGTCCAAAATTTAGCCGTGTTACCATTCCACCAAACACTTTTGTTTGATGCTCGATATTGCTGCAATCGCACACTTTTCTTTTCGTTTTTTTCCTTCTTTTCTTCTCCTAATACATGTATATGACGTGACACAAACACACATTCACCACTAGTTCAATCTCTACTTCTTGCACGTTCTTCTCTCTGTTAGGCGTCCTTTTAATGTCAGAAGCGAGAGAGCGAAAGAATACGGGAGAGAAACCACAATAATATTCGTCGAAGCAAAATGAGTGTGTTGCTTTATTTTTCTTTCAACCCAATTCGTTTCTCTTCGCTCGGATTTTTTGTTCGCTCGTTCGTTCGTCGACTTCCTTTTTGCCACCGCACTCAATTCGGTTATGTATATTACATTGAGAATAAGAAAAAAGAAAGAAAGAAACGAAGGCAAAAAAAGCCGTAAGGAAACCGGAATTGAAAATCACTTCTCTATTTTTTTCTCTTCTGTTTCGTTTACTCTTTTCAGCGCTTGTTTTTGTATGCAAACAAACAAGCGAAAAAGAAATTGTTCGATTTAATTTGCTCCTCTGATTTTTTTTGTTCCACAAAAATTGTTCAGTGTACAAAAAGAGCTATGGCTTTTTAAATTATGCTTTCATTTAATATATATAAATATTTGAATAAACTTTTGTTTCATGTGTGTGTGTGTGTGTGTGTGTATGTTAGTGCAGGATCATGGGCTAAGTGAAAACTCAAGTTAATGTTAAACTCTTTCCGAACAGATGAAAAGGGTTTTGCAAAGAGTTAATGATGAATCAACCAAAATAATTGTAATTAGCAAAGCCACCGTCCGACTAACGAAATTGAAAAGAGACTTTTCGCTTGATTTATTATCGCCTGTATACAGAGCATGAATGAACCCGCTACCTTTTTCGACTAAATCCATATTGTTTGGCACAAAAAACACAAACCGGCAAAGAAATAATTTATTTTCGAGCCAAAGAGGCACGCTAACGACACCGCGCAATGACGGTCGTTGTTTTTGGTATTGAGGCTGCATCGTCTGTACATTGACACAATTTCGATCCTCTTTCTCTCTCCCTGTTTCTCTCTCTCTCTCTCTCTCTCTCTCTCTATCTCTGTATAGTTCCAAAGGTAAGACTAATGGTTGAACCAACAGCAAAAATTCCTTTACTTAATGAACAAGTGAAAAGCGACACGAAAAATAATTGAGGATACCAAAAGGAAAATGCGAACACACACAAAAAATCAACACATTGAAAAAGGCACAGAGAACAGAAAGACACAGAGACAGAGGATGCAAAACGAATAAACGTATAAGGAGCATCAGACAGTGAATATAAATTGAATTAAAACAACAGGATAGCCGTCGATGACGACAGAGTTGAAAAAAAGAGGCTGATAAAGAGAGACTGAGTGAAAAAGAGAGAGGAAAAAAGCGGGCACAAGAACAAAAGTAAATGGCATCCATTATATATACACACAGACATGCATGCATGCATTGCACCTTTTGTGTAGCTATGCTACAGCAATATCAGCTGTCTAAATAGAACAGTTCTGAATGAGCTAAAGTGCTGATGCGAACAAAAAGATAGCCGGGTTTCATACCAATAAACAGATGTACATCAAGCATGACAAACAAGCAGGCAGGCAGATGATGATGAACAATCTGGAAAATCCAATAAAATTGTTTGAGGCTTATTACTAAAAGCAGCGACGACGACAATTTACATCAGTGTTAGTCTGAGTGTATGTATGTGTGTGTGTGTGTGTTTGTTAGTAAGCATATGGCAATCGACACTTCTTCATGAAATTATTCTTTCCTCTCCTTTTCAAGCTCAGAGTTTCTCACTCTCATTCTCGAACTTGGCAAAAATTTATGAAATAATCACCGTGTACAAAAACTACCAGCCATTCATTCGTCTCTTGGTATTTTTTGACGTGGTGACGAAACTAAAAACATATCTAGACGAATTCAAATTCATCATACTTTTATCACGTGCGCTCTCCCTTTTCCGCAATGCTGCAACTTGGCACACAGAAATGTCGCCATCAAATTTTCATTGCTGGATGCACAATAGGCAAAATACTCAGCACAAAGTTGTAATTTTATTTTTTTCATATCATACTTTATCAACGGAAATACCTTTCGTTGTATTTCGTGTTTTTATGGTATAGCCGAGTTTCCTAGTCAAGGGAACGCAAACCACTCACAATTTAATTGCTACTTTGTAAAATGATGATACATATTTATATTTCAAACACGAAATTCTGAGAATATGAACAAGAGAAGCAGACGCCATTTAAATTCAACATTGTTTCCCGCAATTCTATTCTTTGAATGCAATTAGATTGATATATGTACCTTTTTGTATCTATTTGAGCTTGAATGCAAATTATCACATTTTCCAGTTGTAATGGATATTGTTCAGTTAATGTTCTCAAGACGATGAATTATTTTGAGTAAAAGGCGTAGAAACTACCATGTAGCAAATACATATCATTTTCAGGAAATTTAACATTAACCAATTAAATTCTGCAATGAATATTCGGATTTTCACTAAATACAATTTTTGTTTCGTTCTCATTACAGAAAGTGGGATGTCGCATTTTGAAAGTATTTTCAAGCATGTGCCCACAGAGTTCGGACCGTGTTGTGCAGTGCATTGGCAAGGCAAAGGAATGCATCGATGCAATCAGCGACATACTGGTGTTGATAAAAGAAGTGCCAATCAAAGGTACGATACAGAACTACGATCCAATGAACTACGATGATTACTTGGCTGATAAATATGGCGGTTTTGGTGGCGATAACGCTGGAAATCGTGGCAATAACAATAACAACAATAATAATCGCGGAGGTAGCGGTGGTGGTGGTGGCGGCGGCGGCAGCCAAGGTAAGAATGCATCATTCAGAGTTGAGAATAAAAACGAGGCAAACTAATATTCATCTGGTTCTCCCAATATTCATAGGTCGCAACCAACGAGATAGAAGCTTTGAACGTCGTGACAATAACAACCGCAACTTCAATCGAAGAAATGATGGAGGTGGACGAGGCGGTGGTAATGGCAATGGTGGTGGCGGCGTCGGCAACAATAACATGAGGTGAGATATTGTCAGTTTTCTAGAATAGAAGCTGGATTACACCAAAATTATTCTATTTGACTAATTCGAAATTGCTTTTGTTTTCGTTTTAACTTAGCAGAGACCGTGAACGTAACAATTTCATAAATCCATGGGCATCGAGCCCATCAATGGGTAACAGTAGCTTTGATGGACCAAATTTCAATCAGTTCGGAAACAATGGCGGCATGGGCGGCTTCAACAATTTTAACAATCCAAACACAGGCAGTCCTAGCAGTTTGATGAACGGATTCAATGGCATCGGAAACAATCCAAATATGGGCAACAACAACAATGCATTTGATAACAATATGGGCAATAATGGACCAGTGTTTGGATTAAACAGCAGTCTTGGTGGCGGTAACATGGGCAACAATATGCCGAACAACATTGGAAACAATGGACAAAATGATGAAGGACGAGAAACTACACAAGTGACCATTCCGAAAGATGTAAGCATGGTTGCTGGGAATGTAACCAAGAGAGAGAGAGAAAAAAACAACTAAAGGTGCAATCTAAAATGGAACGGTTTATTAATTTGGTTTGTTTTCAATCATTTTAGTTGGCTGGTGCTATCATTGGCAAAGCTGGTACACGCATACGAAGAATTCGCATGGAATCGAATGCATTCATTACCATCGATGAACCAGCTCAAGGATCAACCGATCGTATCATTACGATCTCAGGCACAGCAAGACAAATTCAGTTGGCTCAATACTTGTTACAGCAAAGGTAAAATCAGCATCAAATCATCCATTGCCACAAACACACCTGCTTTCCTATGCTATTTATAAAAAAATAAGTCACATGTTTCTATGGTTATAAAAATAAACTATTTTGGTGCTGGAACGCTTCAAACTCATGATCATTCTACTGTTCGGTGGATGGGCAAACAAAAGGACTAATACTAACGAACCATTTCGGTCAAAATCACCGACAATTTTGCACATCACATCAACTAAAAACCCCTTAGCATACTTTGTATGGAAGACTAGTGATTTTGTTGTTTGGTTATTGAAAATTAACAAAAAATCTCTTGTCTTTCTACAATGTTTGCTGCTGTCAGCATTTTTAACCAAACTCACCCTATGGATACGGAACGTGTGTGCATTCACTATGCCAACTTTTTTTTTTTCAAAATAATATCCTTTCTTTTTCGTTAGATTTATGCATCTATCAATTTACCAATAAGTTATCAAGAATAGTCTTGTTTCCATATGCCAAATCCTAATCGAATTCAATCTCTTTCATTTTTATTTTTATTTTGCAGTGTGCGTGAACATCGAAGAAATTAATCGAGCGATATCATACTTTAATCATGTCCACCAACAACTAAATAGTCCATCGTGCGTAAAATACAACTCTATTTTTCCGCTGTATGAAGGAAACTAATCAGCAGCCGTCAAGAAATCAATTCATAAACCAACAAAATATTACTATAAGGTTGCAAATTTGCATCAATAAGAACACTTCTAAACCATTTCATAAACAACAACCACAAAAAACTATCAGCTTATTGGTTTTTTTTTCTCAATCAATTTTTAAAGCAAGAACAAAACAAAATAATGCAAGAAAAATAAAAAAAATATTTAAAGTGAATATATTTAAAACAGAAATTACAGAACAACTGTAGCAAACACATTTTAGCCATTCCATACAACGAAAAGGATTTGTTTCATTTTAGAATTCAAACTCAATTTTATACCCGAAATGTCCGACAACAAAGGAACAACAACAACAACAGCAACAACAATAATATGCAACACGAAATTAAATAAAACAAATTCCGCTTCGTGTGGATAAACAACAAATATGCAAGGCACTTGGTCTTGTACGTACAATAAATATTCACTTGAATGAAAATCTGTAACCAAAAAAAAAAAAACAAATAGTTTGCTTTAGGTAATAGTTTTTGTGTCACACCCAATCCCAAAATGGATCCTCGAACTGGATATAATTAAAAAGAAGAAAAAAAAGAAAACAAATGCAAATCAAAAGCAACATTTTTATTGTATCGTACGCAACTTTTTATTTTTATAGATTTACACAGATAAATAATAATGATGAAAACAGAAGATAACAAACAGAATATGAATGAAACTCACACACACACACACACACACACACACGCAAACGCAACCGATATACGTGACTGAATGAATGTGTGAGAGAAAACAGTTCACAAGTCCATTTTTATCATCACAAATATTTTTTGTGTGAATTTTGAAATATCTAGCGCTCAAATTTAATGAACATCTGAACGGAATACATAACAACCACATGTATGTCGTTCAAACAATAAAATTCATCGGAACAAATGCCCCCAATGTTCATTTAAGTGAATGGGATTTTAAAAGAGAACTATTTTTTAATCAGTTTTTTCTTTCTTGCGCGCGCTATAGATGTATTTTTTGTTATTACAATTTAAGGTCTTTTTTAACGTTCCAACTGTTTGAAAAAAAAAAAATAAATCGAGAAAATGTATAAAAATCAAATAAAAAGCTAAAAAAAACTTTAAATCATTTTCGTTTGTTATTATTTCGTTTTTTTTAAATGGGATTTTCAGCATTGACGAGGAATTGATCGCCGATTGGATCGAGGGAATAGATTGACCAAATCATGACCGATTCCATCGCTCATTCAGCGAAATTTTTTGATAAGGAAAAAGTCTGGGCACAATTTATGGAGCGGTTTTATTTCAATCAGGTGGAAAAATGCAATCGCAAAAAATTGAAAGAACAACAATCGAGAAGAATAGAATAAAATCAAATGTGTAATACATGTCCAGCTTATTTTTGGCAACACTTCATTTCTAATCAATAGCCACGAAGTGGTGGAATAAATTATTGGGACAACATGTTGTGTGTAAAATGTACATGTGGTATCGTACAGCACAAGCAATTCGTTTATCATGGTGTCATTATTTTCCGCGCGCAAGAAATTGCATCGCTCTCATGAAATGCATTATTAGCCCGAAAAAAATTTCAATCGGCCAATTTTAAAACATAAAAATGTGTCAACGCTTAGTTTCACTGTAAAACTAGGGATGGCGCTACAATCAGTCATGCAAGTGTATTTCTATAACGGACCGCTCATTCCAAATCGACTCGTCGACTGCTTGTTACCGCGCTAAATAAATAAACTGTTCGCATATACAGCATTTTGACACATCGCACACCAGTGGTATGATTTTATCGTACAATTATGGAAAATATTAAAGAAGACGACGTATCACAGATTCATTCGAACGATTCGGTAAGAATTTTAACGGGATTAATTGATTTAACACAGAACAAAAAAAGACTGAAAACAAAAAAAAAATGATTACGAAAAATGAGCAAATGTTTGTGCAATTCAAGTAAACTTTTTGTTCTGTGGCCCGCTAAAAAAGGTTGAACTAGCGGAACAGCCATCAAAAGAACCGAAGGTGAAAGCACTCGATTCAAAGCGACAAGAGAGCCTCGATTTTCTGCTGAAGCAAGCCGAACTGTACACCCATTTCGTGACGAACGGTTCAAAATCGAAGAACACCAAACGAAAGTCAACGACAGCTCTGGCAAATGCGTAAGTAAATTACAAACAACATTGTTATTGCGACTCGTTCGACAAATTTTTTCAACAACAACAACAAAATCACACAGAACCAGACAGTTGCGCAGAAAGAATGTAAATGGATCGACATCGGAAGATCTGAACACGTCGAGTGTCAAAGTAAAAATCCAATTTGATCAGACGCCGGCATACATAATGGGCGAAATGCGTGATTATCAAATTCGGGCGCTCAACTGGTTGATTACTTTGTACGAAAATGGCATCAATGGAATTCTTGCCGATGAAATGGGGTTAGGTAATTACACATTTGGAATTTATTAACCAAAAAAGAAATGGTTAATCTTATCGATATCATGCAGGTAAAACGCTTCAAACGATCTCGATGCTCGGCTATTTGAAACATTATGAGTAAGTCGCCTTTTTTCAATATGCTTATTTATGAATAAAGAATCATTGTTGATGACGAATGAACAAATATCGGATGACTCATCAAACTTGTCATAATTTTTTGTGTCAATACAGAAAAATGAATGAGCCGCATCTGATTGTTGCACCGAATTCCACACTGCAGAATTGGCTCAATGAAATCAACAAATTTTGTCCCTCACTAAAAAGTTTGATTCTAATTGGTGACAAAACCGCTCGTTCCGCGACAATACAGCGTATGAAACAGAAAAACTGGGACGTTTGCATCACATCGTACGAAATGTGTTTGTTGGAAAAAGGCCCGCTCAAGCGTTTTAATTGGAAATATGTAGTGGTAAGTCGGAATTTCGTAGCTTGTATCAAAACTGTAGTCGAACGTTGTTGAACTTTTGTGTGCATATATAAAAAAAACAGGTGGACGAAGCGCATCGCATCAAGAATGAAAAGGCCAAGCTGAGCAAAGTTTTGCGAACATTCAACACTGACAACCGGCTTTTACTGACCGGAACTCCGCTTCAGGTAACTGAAAATTCAACAGAATTAATCGAAAGAGACTTACATGAATCAAACATAGAAATTTTAGCATAGAATCACGAATCAACGGCAATTTCAATAGAGGCTTTTCTTTGACAGTCATTGGCACATGATTTCAAATCAAAATATGAATTTTTTGCTTTTTTTATCGTTCCAGAATAATCTGCACGAGCTATGGTCACTGTTGAACTACTTGTTGCCAAGTGTGTTCGTAAATTCAGACGATTTTGATACTTGGTTCGACTCAGACAACTGTTTGCGAGGAAACGATGACATCGTTAAACGATTGCACACGATTCTCCGACCATTTATGCTTCGACGCATTAAATCCGAAGTGGAAAAGACACTTCTGCCCAAAATTGAATTGAAATTGTTCGTTGGTTTGACCACGCTACAGCGAGAAACGTACAAAAAGGTGCTAATGAAGGACATTCAAACAGTGAGCGCACTTGGACAAGCATCGCAAAAGGTCATCAACAGTATTTTGATGGAGCTTCGAAAAGCAGCCAATCATCCGTATCTCATCGAAGGTACAGAGCCTGGTCCGCCTTATACAACTGATCAACATTTGGTCGATAGCTGTGGAAAAATGATGGTTTTGGACAAGCTATTGGCAAAACTAAAAGCACAAGGATCTAGAGTCGTTCTGTTTAGCCAATTTTTGCTAATGCTAAACGTGTTTGAGGATTATCTGATGTGGCGTGGTTACAAATATTGCCGATTGGATGGCAACAACACGTATGATGAGCGTGCTAAGAGCATTGACGAGTTTAATGCGGAAAATAGCGAAAAATTCGTATTCATCCTATCGACACGTGCTGGTGGACTGGGTAAGTGCCGATCAAATCGATTGAATGAAATTGGAACTAAAATCAAAGCAATTCAAAACTTTATCATTCATTCCAACAGGCATCAATTTGACCACAGCCGATACGGTGATAATTTATGATTCGGATTGGAATCCGCAATCAGATTTCCAAGTGATCGACCGCGTCCATCGCATTGGCCAAACGAAACAGGTACGTGTTTTTCGATTGATCACGGAAATGACGGTTGACGAACGGATTGTTCAACGCGCCAGCATAAAACAACGCTTAGATCAAATGATCATTCAACAAGGTCGGCAAATGGACAAAGAAACGGCTGCCGAACAAAAGGGGATGAAACGTGATATGATTCGCTTCGGCGCTAAGTATATCATGTCATCGGGAAAATCAGATGTTTTCGATGTTGACATTGAGAAAATTCTGAAGGACGGTGAATTGAAAACGGCCGAAGAAGACGAAAAATTGGCGAAATTGAATGAGAATGGGCTACGAAATCTGACGATGGAGGAAGCATCAAGCGTGTCTGTATACCAATTTGAGGGTATTGACTTTCGTGCTATTCAAGAATCATCGAAAGACGAAGAACCGTCCAATGGCGGACGTCCTCAGCGTGCTGCAAAGCGCAATCGAAAGGTGTACCAAACACCAGTGCAAGATGTGAACGGCAACAATCTCATCCAAATACATTTACACCAATTCTATCCAAAGGTATTGTATGAGTTGACCGAAGACGGCGAAAATCTCGATATGTCGTATGATGCCGAGCGAAAGAATAAGTTGATGGAGCAAGGTTTTCGTCAATGGTCCGAAAATGATTATGAGCAATTTCGCACAGCGCTATACCGATTTGGTCGTAATGATTTGGTGCACGTAGCCAAAATGATACCGGGTAAAACATTGGACGATGTTGCAAAGTACAATGAAATGTTTTGGATGCGTGGCCGCCAGTATATCGAAGATTTTAATGAGCTTGTGAAGAAAATCAAGAAGAATGAACGATTGATTGCTGTACAAAAAGTGAAACCGCCACCACCACCTCCACCAACAGTTTATCCAAATCAAATGCAACCGCTTTCACAAACACAATATCAAATTGCACCAAAGATATACCACTTTCCAGGAAGACCTTTGCCGGATTTAAATGTTAGCCGAAACGTGAACAGCTGTAAGCGACCAAAGATAAATACTCCAGCTTGGTTGGAAGCATGCACAAATCTTAATCCAGCACTGACTAAAACAGAAAAGCCGCCGATAAAAACTATCTTTCGAAAAGTCGAAAGTTCTACATCGAACTCACAAAATACGCCAACATGGTTGCAAAAATGGATCATTTCGGATACAGCAACAAAAAAGACTGTGCCAGCTCCAGTGATAGCTGCACAGGTGTTCACTGCCAAACCAATTGAAGCTGCAATTCCAGCGCCTAAAGCATCGCCCATTGCCGAATCAACTCCAGCTCCAATTCCATCTTCGCCAGAGAAAAGCACCTTTTCTCAACTCATGGATAAATTTCGCAAACTTGACTCATCGCTCAATGCGGCACTGGACGGTCTTGATGTCAGTTTCAGCGGCAATGAATTCGATTCGTCCGATTCTGACATCGAATAATGATCATCGTCATTTGTAAACATTAAATCAATGTTATCATACTCTATGTACTTTCAGCGGGACTACTACAATTACATTTTCTGTTGATGCCATTAAATATTCGATTCAGTGAACAAAACTTTAGCTAGAGCTTCGGTTAAATAAACAAGTCGATATAAACAAATTCCTAAGTACGAAAGAAAATAAATGTTTATTTCGTAAGATTGTTCTTACGACTATTAGACTATAGCGTTTAAAATTCAATTATGAATAAAATTGTGTTTATTGAACGGCAGTTTGTGTTTGGATTTTCAATGGCAAAACAGCGGAATAAACATAATTTTCAGACATTCCAGAGATAATACATAGCTGCTCCTTGCTTTTCATAAATAAAATGCTCTGTATCTCATCAAATAATTGCATACGATGAATTCATATCAACGCATAATTTGTCGCAATCGGAACGTCATATTTTTTTTCATAAGTCAGAAGAGATAAACCATTGTTTTTGTTTGATTTCGATTGGTGTCAGTTAAACATAACTATGGAAAAAAAAAATTTGGTTTGGAATTCAAAAACTGCGAATTCAAATTGAGTCGGTATTTATAATGAGCTTAAAAATATATATTTCAAAGATTAAATGTGATTTGTTATTATTTTTGTGGTTTGTGGAATCAGGGAAAAAAAAACATTGAAAACATGCAAACGCATTTGAAAAAAAAAACATCGCATTGCTAGCCGTTCGGTGTGCAAGGGTGGCGCTGTCAGTCAATGCGAAAATCACATCTACGTCCAATTTGCATGAAGAATTACATTTGAACATGTCTGCACAAACAGCTAACGGATTTGCACTCGGTTGAAAGTCAGACGATGCGATGACATTGTTAGTTGGAGTGTGAGCGTCATTGAATGTGTGTCCAGAATAAAAAAAATGTCACCGTGTTCTTATTCGTAGACTAATTTTTTTTTTTTCAATAAATTGAGGTGAAATTCTGAATATTTGCAAACTAAAACGACGAAAAATGGCTGAGGCAATGGAAATCGACGAGAATTCCGGCGATGAGAATTCCAATTCGAAAATTGTAAGTGTTTCATTTTGTTTGGATCATTTTTTTCGGCATTGGTTCTGTAAAATGACGTTTATACTCAAGATTGTGTACAGTTTTCATTTGTTTGGATAATTTTTGTTTACGATTATAAACAAAGGTTGACTCTGTGTCGATGATGCAGAGTTTTTTAAGTCCGAAACAACAAAAACGCTTGGATTTTTTGCTGGAACAAGCCGAAGTGTTCTCACATTTTGTTGGAAATTCACCAAAGCAAGCGGCCAAACGCAACAAAATGGCGCGCAAACGTGAACAAAAGTGAGTGTGTTTGCGTGAGAAAAATGTTTGTCACATTTCATGCAATCAATTTTGTATTTCTGGCTTTTCCATTTATTTTTCTTGCAACGACTTATGGAATTCGTGTGTTTTTTGCAATTTTATTTTTTGGAAGGTCGTCAAGTCGACACCATGAAAATGACAAATCGATGGATGGAGATGACGATGCCGAAGATGAAGGAAAAGCAACAGGTGTCCGCTTCGAAACGACGCCAGCGTACATAAACGGCGTAATGCGTGACTACCAATTGCGCGGCTTGAATTGGCTGATTTCTCTGCACGAAAATAATGTGAATGGAATTCTAGCTGATGAAATGGGACTAGGTAACGAAAAGAAAATTGATTTGTTAACAATTATATCGGTTTCTAGTGCTTTTAGTATAGAAAAGAATAATCATCATGAAATTAATTGATATTTACCATCGTATCACAGGGAAGACATTGCAAACCATTTCGATTCTTGGTTTTTTGAAAAATTACAAGTAAGTACTACTCAAATTTCATGATTCAGATTACAAAATCGAATTGATTTGCATAGGACATGTGTCATCGGAAGAATTGAATATAATGATAATGTTACGCATTATAGAACGATCGATGGTCCATTCTTGGTGGTTGGACCGAAATCAACACTTGCTAACTGGTTTAAGGAAGTGAAAAAATTCTGTCCAACGTTGCGTGCGCTCACATTGATTGGCGAGAAAACCGCGCGCCAAGATGTAATACATCAACTTGAAAAGCGTAAGTCGTGGGACGTTCTCCTGACGACATACGAGATGATTTTGGCAGAAAAAAGTGCCCTCAAACGGTATAATTGGCGATATCTTGTTGTGGATGAGGCACATCGCTTGAAAAATGAAAACAACAAAATCAGCACGATTTTACGAAGTTTTAAATCCGACAATCGGCTTCTGCTCACTGGTACCCCACTTCAGGTATGCATTTCCATTCAACATTTTTTGTGTGAGCCACAAACTCTTGCATTTGAAAATTTGAATTGATCAACAATTTCTGTTAATCGCACTGCGAATTCTTCACTTCCATTTCGGTACAGAACAATTTACACGAACTGTGGGCCCTTCTGAATTTCCTATTGCCAGAGGTGTTCGCAAGTGCAGACGACTTTGACACATGGTTTGATGCAGATGATTGCTTAAGAGGTAATCATAGCATTGTTCAACGGCTGCGAACCATTCTTCAGCCGTTCATGCTACGGCGCATCAAAGCCGAAGTGGAAAAGTCTCTGTTGCCAAAGATTGAAACGAAACTGTTCGTCAGACTGACGCCATTGCAACACAAAGTGTACAAAACGGTTTTACTCAAAGAAGTGAAGAAAATCAACGCATTTGGCGAAGAGTCAACAAAGGCCATAAATATGATTGTGCAAGAGCTGCGAAAGGCGGCCAATCATCCATATTTGATTGATAACATTGAACCAGGCCCACCATACACAACCGACATGCATTTAGTCACCAGTTGTGGCAAAATGCTGATTTTGGACAAACTGTTGGCCAAATTGAAATCGCAAGGCTCGCGAGTGGTCATGTTTTCTCAATTTACGATGTTGCTCGACATACTCGAGGACTACCTGGGCTGGCGTGGCTACGAATATCGGCGGCTTGATGGACAAACACCGTACGAAGAGCGGGAAGAGAGCATCGATCAATTCAATGCAGAAAACAGTGACATATTCGTGTTCATCATATCCACACGGGCAGGTGGCTTAGGTAAAATGACTTGATCCCAATTAGAAATCGTGATATTTCGATTCAAATCAGAATTTTTAATTCAAAAAAACATGTGGATCTCATTTCAAAGGCATAAATCTGGCCACCGCAGACACGGTGATAATTTACGATTCGGATTGGAATCCGCAATCTGATTTCCAGGCAATCGACCGTGTGCACAGAATTGGCCAAAAGAAACAGGTGCGAGTCTATCGTCTGGTCTCAGAAAACACCATTGACCAACGTATAACGGAGCGCGCTGAAATCAAGCATCGTTTAGATAAGATGATCATACACGGTAAAACGACTGAAAAAAATCTTACCGAATTGACAAAGGGCAACAAGCGCGATATGATTTTCTTCGGTGCTGAATACATTTTGTCTTCGGATGGTTCCGATGTCATTGATATTGATATCGACATAGACAAGGTTCTCAAGGAGGCCGAATCGAAAACAGCCGAGGAAGATGAAAAGTACGCGAAATTGGGAGAAAGTGAATTGCGTAATCTCACATTGGAAGAAGCTTCAAGCGTATCGGTCTATCAGTTTGAAGGTGTCGATTTTCGTGCCATGCAAAACAAAACAAAAGATGATGGTGCACACCTGTTGCGACAAAGAAAACCCGTTCAGTATGTCTTGCCGATGCAAGCGCCTTCCACAGTTTTGCGAAAAATGAAATTTCTGCTTGACTATCAATTCTATCCGAAAGCCCTGCATGACATGTCAGAAGATCATGATGGATGGGTCGATATGAATGTGGACAAAGAGCTGAAGCAAGAGCTGGTCGCAGAAGGATTCCCAAACTGGAAGCGACAAGACTTGAAAACGTAAGAGAATCATTTTTCGCGTAATACCATTTCAGAAATATACAAATCGGCTTTTTTTCACAGCCTACAAACTATTTTGAGCTAACCGTTTTTTCTTCAAATTCAACCGAACGAATTTAGATTCATCTATGCCATGCGAAAGTACGGCCGTGAAGATATGCAACAAATTGCAAGTATGCTGCCTGAAAAAACGCTCGACGAAATCACCAGGTATCATCGTGCATTTTGGAGCCGTGGAAAAGCCGAACTAAAAGAATTTGATCGCTACATTGCATCACTTGCGAAGGCAGAGGCCGAACAAAACAAGCAAAAGACGGTTTCCGAAGCATTTCACTGGAAAATGACCGGTTACCGTTGCCCTGAATTGGAACTTACGTTCAAAGGTCTCAGTGTGAAGAGCATGTTCACATATGAACAAGACAAATTCATACTGAGCTACTTATTCGAGATTGGCATCGATGCTCCAAATGCTTATGCTCGGATTCGTGAAAAGATTTCGTAAGTTTGGATTTGTTTGCTTCAAGAATTCTTTTGGTATTTACCACTAAATATTACCTCGCTTTCATGCTATTGACACACAGATCATCCAGACGACACAATTTCGATTTTTTCCTGCGCAGCCGGACCGCAGCCGAATTGCAGCGGCGCGCAGAGTATCTACTGAACACAATCAACCGTGAATACATTGAATTTATGACCAAAAACACATCGGCCTCTTCAGACACTTCGGAGACAGCTGGCAACAAGAGTGTCGGCGGCGTTAAGAAACCGGTTTTGCAGAACAAAATGAACATGAACATGACCGTTGGATAAGGAAAATTTGCTGTCAATTTTTACATTTGGCCAAATCCAAACTGACAAGAGTCAGTACAATTCAATATTTGTTGTTAGTTTCTTTATTAGATTATACCTGCTTTCATTGCGATTGAAAATTCATTTTTTTTTCTCCCATCAAATTTCTAAAAATACACTCAACTTGAACGATGAAGATTTGAACATGAAACGAAAGAAAATTCATTCGAATTGAAAAACACCTGTTGAGTTTTTCTTCAGATGTTCATGAAAATGAATTTTTGACAAATCACAGAAAGATAATAAAAACCCATTTACTTTAATTAAACGATGAATTTTATTCAATCTCTTTTCATAAAAATTGCTTTAGAAGGCCATAACGACAATATAGTCAATTCACTTACAATCTCAAGCATTTTGAAATGCCAATCGAATTTTCTCCATTCAAACTTTTATTTGAAATAAGTTTCGACGCTATTTCCCATGTATTGCAAAGAATTGGTCGTGTCAACGCTAAGATTCCTTCATCGGAACATTTGGTCATTCTCTGATCGTCGTCCCACATATCGACGGTAATTTTGAATTCTCTGGAAAGTCTCTCTGAAGTGAATTTTTGTGTTAATATGCGATGTGTCATAGAGTGGGCGTTCGATCGTTAATTTTTACTATCATATATGGATTGATTTGTTTTCACAAACGCATCATCATTACAATTTTTTTTTTTTAAATATTTCAGCCAATTTTCAAAATATTCTACTCAATGAGAAAAATGACTAGGACGACGTTTGGTTTGGCGCCATCTGCAAGGTGGAAGTATTTTGCAATACAAATACGTTCTATTGTTGCTGTCATTGGTTGCTGTCATTGATAGTTGGCAGTATATTTATAAAGAATTTTCATAGTTCAGCGTGTACCGTCGAGATGTCGCTTAAATATAGCATAAACATGTGCTCCATATAAAAACATAGGCAAATTTTATCATTGATCTACTGAATTATGAGCAGCTTGAATGCTATAAACAAAATGATGTTGACCAAAACTACTACAAAAATCAGAGAAAAAAAAAACAATAACCATTGATTCAAATTTCGTGTTGAATTTTATTGAATTGCTTGAAATTTGATAAGAATTGCTCTAACTAGGTGAAAATCATGTTCACATGGAAATCAGGTCATCGAATGTCTTCTGGATTGCATCAATCTTGTCGGTGTCCTCTCCGCGAATTCGCATGTATTCGACCAATTTGGTGAAAGCTATAAAAATTGAAAGGAGAATTGAAATGACAAATTATCATCAATGATAATATAATGAATATATGAAGAAGAAAAGTTAAAAATCGATTTAAAATAATCCTCATACCGAGTTTGTCTTCGGCGTTCATCATAGCACTGATGATGGTCATCTGTTCGTTGTTCATCATGCCGCTCAAAATATTTGCAATTGGAAGATTCTGGTTTATGAAGTGTGACTTGAGGATTGTGAATATTTCACGCAATACTGTTAAATTAAATTGAGCGCCCAACATGCGGCCGATGTCAGCTTTGTAGATTCCCTATGATTGCAGAAGGAAAAAAAAAGAAAATAAATCATATATTCCATAAGCAAATGCTTAACATATCCGAAATTCAATCCTTTTACCTTAAGAACCGTGAACTTTTGGTCGGCATTTTTTATTGACATCCATGTTTTGTGGAATTGTGCTGAATTCTTTGGTGTCGCCAATTCAACTGGGATCACATGTGGTTTACTTTCGACGAGGATTGGTTTGGTTGCTTTCGCTACCGTCTTGCCCAAATCGGTCGATGTTTTGCTTAAGTCAGCCATCGCATTGCTTGTCACCGTCATGGTTTTGCTTTCGGCTGTTTGATCGATATTCGATAAAAGAGGCTTGGTTTCTTCGGCTCGGTTTGAATCTATTGCCATTGGCGTCGGTGTAGCTTTTTCACCATTGTCACCGATAGCCATCCGTTTCAATGCTTGTTTCGACCGCAAATGTGGTGCTTTTGTGACAAAATCAATGCGATCATAACCATTTTTACCCTCAAACTGTGACCATGCAACTGGTGTTGCTGCTGCTGCCTTGACTTCCAAGTCTCGTTTGGTGATCTTCTTACCAGACGCCTTAAGCAACCTTTCAAGCCGGTCTAAACTTTTTTGAGCGTCTACATTTTTTGGATCAATGCGAAGCACCGTTTTACAATCACTTAATGCCGCTTCCAAGTCAGATTTCATCTGTTCCCGTGCCTGCATCCGCCGATAGTATGCTTTGACCGCTTTTCCATCCAAACCAACAGCTGTCGTGCAATCGGCGATGCATTCGTTGAATTTGTTCTGTTTCAAGTAACATAGCGCGCGATTTGTGTAGTAAACCGCTTCGGATTTGTTCAATCGAATCGCTTCTGTGTAGTAATGAACGGCTTTCTGATATTCACCGGCTTTTACACAATTGTTGCCACGTATTTTGAATTCATTCGCATTTTCTACGGCCATTGGAATCGTTGCACCTGTTTTCGAACTTTCGGCCGGCTTATCCGGCGCTGTGCTGGTCGATGGTTTGGCTGATTGTGCACTGATCGACGGTTTTGGCGGTTGAATCTGATTTCGCAGCGGGTAACTGTGATCGAATGCCTATGACAAGAAAAATACACAATTTTGTTGAATTTGTCAAGTTGAACGAAATAATAGAATTAAAGTAACCTCTTCGTCGGGCACCACATTTCGTTTGGCTTCCATTTGTTTTATATCCTTTTCCCATTCGTACAGACCGTGGACGGCGTCACGAATTTGATTACTTTTGTGCATGATTTTTGCTTGAGTTTCCAAATCAGACATTTTTCCTTCCCTTTTCATTCAATCACTTCAATGTATTCTGAAAATATTAAAAGCAACAGTGAATCCTAATCAGTTTTCGAACAATGAAATTGCGCGATTTGTATTCAATGTATCAACAATATGCAACTGTCAAATGTCGAATGACTCGAGCTTTGTTTATTGGGTTGCCGTGGTGTTACCAATTGAATGTTCTGAATTGATTTTCTTTTCATTGTGAAATTTTTACAATACCTCAACTGAATAATATCCTTCACATTAGTTGAATAATATTTCAGATTGTCGCTCAATAGGTCAAAATCAATACGAAAAAAACTAAATAACACAAAGTTTTTATGTGAATCAATGGTAAAACTGAATTGAAATGTGAGTGAGTGAGTGCGTTTATTATACCGAAGTGTCAGAAATACTTCGATTGTCAACACTACCGACCGGTTCACATGCTTTTGTTATTCACATTCGTCGGCAATTTTAAGTATTTGTTTGGGGTTCCGAGGCATGTTGAAGGTTTTTGTATTTGCTAAAGTCAATATTCGAATCGTCAAAGCACTTAATGTACTTTGAAACAAAGTTCTGAATTTAAAGCAATTTGAGAATTCACAGACTGATGAAAGTCGTTCACATTCAAAAATATTTTTCGTTATTCCAGTTGGATTTCAAAGCTTTTTTTCAGTTCTTCATAATTAAATCATGTGGATAATTCACAAGGGGATTTAGTTAAAATATTGGTTTCCTTTTATTGCCTCTGGGCCAGAGGCTCTGGATTACATTCATAACATGTGCCACAAATAGTGAAACACTACTTCGCTCGCTCTGGCTGAATAAAGGGAAAATATGAACAATACATTTCTTTAAAGTGTTGTAGCACATGAAAATATTTAATTACTGCTTCGTACCGGTGCTGTCAACCACCTCCACTCTTATTTAATGGACTCCATTTCCCAATCAAAAATGATATTTTTTCGAAGAAGAAAAAATCATTCCAATGATTATCAGAATGTAGAAATGTTACGGGTTGATCTAGTAAGACCGTCTGTCTATTCGACGAAGATATTGCTGTAAACATCTTGTTTTTTTCGATTATTTAATAAAACTTTGAAAATTTGATTAATAAAATTCCTTTTTTGTACTACTGGTTTTGCTGGTATCTGATAATGAAATGGAATTTATTGACATGAGAAATTCATTTAATTAAGGAAAAAAATGAAACGTTTTTTCTTTGCTGATTGATTGATTGAACGAATTTTGTTTATTGATTGCTATTTTTCACAGAAACATTTCAACAGACGATCATTTCGTAGGTCTGAAAACTGAAATGATTCCAAGTGATCAAATGTAATTTACCAGACGAGTGGGTTGACTAGAAAAGATAATATTTTGCAGCAGAAATCAACATTGTAAACAGAACGAAAAATGGGTATTGACATGTGTCACAGCTTGTATGATTTCTGCCACACACATTCTTAAGAATTTCAAGTTTGGAAAATTATAAGCAATACAACTTCTATGCAAAAACAGATAACAATCAATGTTAAACAAAAAAGATCGCATCCTTGGAATAGACGAATTAGCGAATCTTTCATTCAAAAAAAAAAAAAAATATTTCTAGCCTTTCGGAGTGCACATCCAAAGATACTTTTATTATTATGTGTTAAGACTCCAGTTGGATTTCATAGCTTTGAAAAAGAGTTTAAATAAACTAACTGATGGGAAAACATGTAGACTAAACAATGTGTTAGCACATCGTCTATTCTAATTACTTAAGCAATTAAGCGAAAAATGACCTAAACTTCTCGTTATTTTATGAGACTTAGTAGTTGTGAATCGAAGTAGATGTTTTAAAAAATGAAGATAAATTCGACTTGTGCTTGTGATTTCCTTTCGGCTGCAAAGCTTGTGAAACCGAATCTTGGGCTCGGCGTATATATTGGAGCAATTGCAGTGTGTGTTGTATGTAGAAGCATTCGGTAGTAGCGAGTAAATGATGATTTTAGATGCGCGCACCTTGTAATTATGTGGAAGATATTGCAAAAGTGTTCTGGGACCACGACCGTGTGCGCACAACCAAATGTTCTTGCATTTTGTTTATCATCAATTATAAGTTTGTTTTTTTTTTCGAGTGTATTTTGTTTCGTTCTCGCTGACGACTTAAAGTTATGCAGTTCATCGTCTTTTTCGTCTATTTTTTTTCTCTTTCATTTTCATTTGCATTCTCTGTGTTTTTTTTTCGACTGCATTCTGTTTACATTTTCCCCGGTCTTCAGTTCGGGTTATTTTTGTTGTTTTTCTTTGCATATCCATTGATTACTACCTGAAGTACGGCTTTCATTCTTATGCTACTGCATGCATTAAATTGTGTACTGAATTTGCAACAATTCGTTTTCTTTAACGTTTATTTCTCGCTTTTCTCTTAGCTGTACTAAATATCAAGCGTTTCTTCTGCGCTCACGCGCGAGCGTATGCTACCTTCAGCTCTTGACTTGTGCAAAAGCCGTTTTCGGTTTTTCTCTGTCTTGAAGTTCGCGTTCGTTTGTTCGTTTGTTCGTTTTAGCGCTCACATCACAATGTTACTCAAGAAAAATCGCCTATTTAAAAAAAAGATTGATTTGCTGTATTTTACCGTCATGTTGCATGCAACAATCAAAATGAAATGAATGCAAACAAAACGTTCATTGCGCGCCATGACTGTGTGGATTGGCCGCTTGAGCTTCTTTCGTTCGTTCGTTCGTTCGTTTTTTGACATAGCTTTTGGGCTTTTTTTACCTTCAGTATATTTGTTATTTGTTTTTACATTATTTACTTATTTCATTCCTTATTTAACGTTGTATTTTTCAATTTTCTTCGTAACAAGAGTGATTTAAAGGTGCAACAAAAGCAGAAATCAAATACACACACAACAGAAAGCGAACGAATAAACGAAAAAAAAAAACATACACACAGTATAACGACGCTGAGCACGGCAAATAAACATACACACAACATTTCTTCTTTTTTGCTCTCGTCTCGTTCCCATTTCACTCGCTCTGACTCTTTTCTTTCGAGCGCCCACTTTTTTTTTAGCTCGTTGTAGTATTATTCAATTTAAACAACTAATTTGAATTAATGCAGTTTTTTTTCGTTCGTCTTCAAAATCAAATTAAATGTTGTAAACAGAGAGAAAGAGAGCAGCATGTGCAAAGACTGTGCAGAGGCCAAGAGATCGTTGCAAATATTAAATTGTTTAAATGAGTTTTTCTTTTTTTTCGATATATATATATATATCAGTCGAGTTGTGTGTGCCTCTCATACCTTTCTGCCTCATACATATGCCAATTGAATTTTTGGTTTGTGGCAAAATCCAATTTCAGCATTTCCAACTCGACATTATGTGTGCTGCTGCTACTGCTGCTGCTGCTGTTGTTGCTCACTCGTTGTTCATGTGTTTGCATTCAATCTGTCCTTGATTATCTATCGAGGCAAGCCAATTTGCTCTCGCTGTTACAGATATATGCATGGCAAGCTTAGAGTTGTTCGAGTAAACAAGTTGTTAAGGATTAAACGGTAAACTTTTATAAGATTTTAACAAAGAATTTTCGCACAATTACATTAGATCTGGAGATACACATAAGATGGAAGAGAGAGAAATGGAAAGAGATTGATTTCCATGCACCAACCCATGAGTGGAATGAATGAACCCAGTCTGTGAATCAATGTAATAAAACAATTTCCATGCGCCAATTTCGATTTCACTAACAATCAGTTCCGGCGTTCAGCCCGATGCTGCTACAAGCTCTTTATGTATACCCATTTTTTTCGGATTGTACCTTTTCTGTTCTTTCACTTCTTCCTCATCATTCCATAGGTACATGTGCAATTCCAATGAATGTGCGTGCGTGTGTGTGTGTTCGTTTGCATGAAACGAAGCCAAATATTTGATTTGGTTTGCTTTTATGTCGTTTTACAAATCTACTGCCGACGCTCAAGCATCTCTCAAGTCTCTTGAGTCGACAGCGCGTCAGAGAGGAGCGCCTCCATCCGACAAACCATATTAAGAAAATTATTAACAAGAACCCGAATCCATTTCAAATATTTAACCATTAAATCAACAAGACAATAATGATATGTTGTCATATAGGTACAGTGTATACAGACCGGCGAGAAAGAGAGAAAGAGAGAGAACGAGCAAAACGCGCTAAAGTTCATTTGTTTTGTTTACCTTATGTCTAGTTTGAATTAACATTTTTGATCGATACAAAACGAGCGGAGGATAACAGAAAAAAAAGGTAATCGAAAAGCATACACACACACACACACACACACCACATTCGTTGGTGTGATCCCTGTGCAATCCTAACTGGCTCGCTCGACACAAGTTGTCTTCTTGGTTTGTTTTATTCTTCCTTGAAGTTTTACAGGCATAAAGAGAGTGTAAAAAGAGGCAAACAAAAGAATTCACCTAACATACAAACAACACGTGAAACAGAGAAAAATCCCAAAAGATAAAACGCAAATAAAATATAAGCAAAAACAAATTACGTGAAGACAGCAACGAGAGAGAGAGAGAGAGAGAGAGAGAGAGAGAGAGAGGGAGGGAGAGAGAAGAGAGAAAAAACACAAACCAATCCAAGGGCAAATGGTGTACGATTTGTTCTACCTTCTTGCTCTTGTTGCTGTTGTTGTTGTTATTGATAAGCAAACAACTATCAAAGCGCATTTGTACCGGGGCAAAAGAGAGATATACGTCAGTGGATAAGGATAAAATCCAAAGCCGCAGGTGATTTCTAATCGATTTTCCAACACACGAAATATCAAAGCGTTTAGAAACATCAACAAATCCCGAACAAACGCATTTTTGGCATAATTATTATTTGAGTCAATAAATACGTAGCACAACACACTCTATTATTGTCGGTTGCCCCGAAACGGTGACGTCGAATTAAAATAACCTACAAAAGAAGAAAGGGCGAGAGAGAGAGAGAGAGAGAACGAGAGAGATGGAAAAACGCCGAATCAACGAAATATGTAAAAGGTGCCTTAACTGCGTTTGTTTTTCTAAAACGAGGGAAAAAAGAAACGAATTTGTTAATTTGGAATCATTGTTTCCGACGTGTGTGCACCACTTTTTAAGCGCCTGTTGCATATATATCAAACAAAATCCACCGAACCTTTTTTCTGGTTTTTTTTTTGGGTCTTGGGAGCTGTCAACGACTTTCGGAAAAGCAAACAAGCTGAATCTCCATAGCATTTATATTTAATCCTCAAATGAGTGTATTCCAAAATGCCTGTAATTGTAGCGAAAAGCGATATGACGGACGGGAAACGAAAAGGATAATCACATTGATTTTCGATGATTATATTATAACCAGTTGCCAAACATTGAACAGACATAGCGATTGGTCGAATGAAATATAGCCGTATT